AGTACAACACAAACACATATATTCCACCAGGAATCCCCTGCTACAGTTACATCGCTATTTTGTCATGGTATCACGCTAGGTAGGTCGCACCCACCCGCGCTTCCGCCCTAGCCTACCTTAGTCCTAGCGCACCCCGCCCTTAGAGTGCCCTGCCCTTAGAGCACCCCGCCCTTAGCGCGCCCCGCCCTTAGCGCGCCTCGCCCCTAGCGCGTCGCGCGACGCCATAGCGAGTCGCCGCGCCGGCCCCCTGTGCACCGTGCTAGCCTCAGCTTGCTGCCGGCCCCTTGCTCGTCGTGCCGGCCTCGGCTCGCCGCGTCGGCCCCAGTTCGCCGCGTCGGCTTCAGCTCGCCGTGCTGGCCCCAGCTAGGCGCTGGCCCCTACTCGCCGCGCCGGCCTCTGCATGCAACGCTGGCCTCAGCTTGCCGCGTCGGCCCCAGCTCTTCGCCAACTCCTGCTCGCCATGCCGGCCCTTGTGCGCCAGCCTCAGCTCGTCGCGCCGGTCCCTGCTCGCAGCGCCGGCACAACTCGCTGCATCGGCCCCAGCTCGCCGTGCCGGCCTCTTCTCGCCGTGTCGGCCCCAGCTCACTGCAATGGCCCCAGCTAGCTGTCGGCACGTGCTCGTCGCGCCGGCCCCAGCCCGCGCCGGGCCCTGCTTGCCGTGCCACCTCGACGCCGCGCCGACCTCTGCTCACCGCTGCACCGGCCTCTCCTGGGCGCCCCTCCGGCATCTACTCCGCACCGTGCCCAGCATCTGCTCGCCACCGGCCCCAGCTACACCATCCTCAACCGCACTCCACCACTCCCCACAGCACTCCACCACTCTCCACCGCACTCCACCGCACCCGCATGTTCCCGACTCCTCCTCCTCCTCCTGTGTCCTCAGCTGCTGCAAATGTGCTCTCATGCTACCGCTGCTGGTGAGCCGCGGCCGACTCTGCTGACACTCGGGCACCATGGCGGACGCAGTCGTCCACCTAGACACTGAGGACCATGCGGTGGACTTTGAGGAGTGGCTCGCCGACCTACGCCGCCACCTGAAGGGTCAGCGCCAGGATGGCCAGTCTGTGCCCTGCTCTCTCGTTCCTGCTGCCCTCGCTGCCACTGCCCCGTCTGCTGTGCGTATGGATTTCGCAGCTGCTAAGCTCGTTCGCTCTGTCTGGGAGTCTCGTGACGCCTTTGCATAGCTAGCCATTAGTCACGCCATCCCGCTGTCCAAGCATCCCCACTTTCAGGCCATCGAGACCGCGAAGGAATATCTAGACGCGGGTATCGCTCGCTATTCCACTCCCTCCTCTGCCTCTGCTAGCTATCTCCTCCTACCCTTGCTCTTTCCTGACCTCACGTTATTCCCCACTGTCGCTGATCTGGCCAACCACCTACGTGCATTCGAGTCTAGCTACCGCATGCTAGCACCAAGGCTCAGCTCATTGTCCTCCCCCCTCTCATTGGCGCCATTCTTTCTTTCCTCGCCACGCGCCTCCTTGACCGCCTAGCCACCACTCGTGACACCTTTGTCACATTCTAGAGATACGGTGATGGAACACTTCACGCTCATGGAAAATGTATCACGCAAGGAAAGTCCAAAACACTCTAACACATATGATATATAATATATCACCATGTAGGGGAAGAGTGTAGGGATTTCCAAAAACGGAAAAACACACAATAAATAGCAAATAGCAGTGATCAAGGATTCGGCAAGCCTCATCCTCTCATATGTCCTCCCCTCGAAACAGGGTAGACGCTGAAAGTGCCCAGTTTTTCAGCAAGCACAAAGAGTTGTAAGGCTAAAAGTAGGCAGAGAAAATCAAGCCAACAAAGTTGTGCTGGAATAGTAGCTCCTTTGTAATTCATTACACACACTCGTGAGCATGTACGAGTGTAGGTAGCAGGTTTCCCATGATGAAGTATTGGGACATGTGACGCTCCAACTCAGGTTGTAGAGTAGCGTAGCGAATGGCGAATGGTGATAAGTCAGTAGAATTCAGCTGCACTGTAGCATTCTGTAGCGATGATAACAATGGTCAAGAAACCACCAAGCGTTCAAGGTTGACGTAGCAGTCGTGTAGCGGTTTGTATGCCGTCGTAACTCTGAAACTGCTGCGTATCATTGCGAAGAGACTTGCTGCCAAGTGATTGTAGTAGGACGAAGACACCATCCTCATCGGTGGAGCATCAATGCATGGTCGTGTTCAAGGAGATATGTTGATTTCTACGCTTAACCCATTTGACTCCTCTTCCTTTTCTAGTAGGCTGTTGGTGACGATGTCGGTGACTCTAGTATGCCTCATACATGTCCAGTTTAGCACGGATTCCATCAATTGGCCTCTGTGTCTGGATGTATGTACAGGTGTGGGTCCACTGGTGATCATGTGTCCTCTATCCGTTGATATTATAGTAACATTTTCGATAACATTGATGTCATTTCGGCTACTCAACATCGATGTTGAATCTGGTCTGCTTCTGCTTGTAGGGGTGCCATTGGAGTAACATGGATTCCTCTATTCATAGTGGCCTTGGCACTCCGGATCACACCTATTGGCTTCCATGGAGGTGATGCTGGCGATGGATTGGTTGGTAACGCATGTTTTATGCCTCAGTTGAAAGTCATTGGGTCATGAGGACTTAACTATTGTCGTAATCCTCCTATCCTCATAAGATTCTCTTTTCTCTGAGCTCTTGAGGGAATGTGGCATAGCCACGTTGGTCCAAGGCGCAGTGGTATCTCCATCCCACTAGCTGGAAATCGTAGATGTAGTGCCAGACCAGGTCTTGGAATCATGTTGGAATTGTATCCAGTGTCATCTCCATGGTTTGGAGGAATATCCATGAGAGTTGGGTGTTGCTGTAGTTTGTCTGTTGCGGCAGCGGTGGTAGATACTCGCAGCGGCGACTGGTGTAGAGGATGATCATAACTCGTAACAGTTTGAAGAAGAATCCATCTGCTCCCTCTTCCGTGTAGAGTCTTCCTGATGGTTGTAACAGTTGTAACTTCCAGGGAACATGTGTGCCTTGATGCACATGTGTCACTCCATTACTGCCGGTGATAGGGTCGATCAAGGGTATGAAGATTAATTGCTTCTCCCCTTGTTGTTTCCACAGGTAGCAACTGCCAGGTATACTCATTCGTGCTCCCGATGTACGGTCGGTAGAGCGCGTAATTGTCTTGTTGCAGTCTGCATCTTCCTCATTTGTCAACATCATCGTGTTGCTGGGCGTTCTCCTGCGTCATCGAAGTTACTTCAAGGGTTGTAACGCTTCAGCTTCTGGTAGAATCACCTCCAATACATGTACCGTAGAGTCGCAGGTGTGTCAGATTCGAGTTCTTGACACCTCGGTCTGTCAACCCTCGTGCCTTTGTGTGATGGCATAAACACCTAGAATCGCAGTCACATGATTGGGGTGTCGTCTCTTAAGGTTGAAGTCAAACTGCACCAATCAATAATTGTGAATGGTTGAGATTCATAGTGAAGATGAATCGATCAGCTCCTATTACGAAATAGTGTCTCGCTGTCCTTGACGAGACGTAGTAATTGCGTCGTAGTTGCATACAAAATTGGCTCCTTCGCATCCATTTGTGTTGGGAGGATTTTGCAAGAGAAAATTGCTGCTTCTCTGCAATCCTTTATGCACCAAATTGTCGAAGTATTTTATATCGTCAATGTAGAATGATAGTTTTATGAAAGTCATTATTGTTGTTGGAGATGTTCGGCTACATTGTTGGTGTACCTGTTATAATCACAATCGGCTAAGATGTGCCTAAAATGAGAGATAGAGAGCACAGTCGGATTCCATCAGACGGCTTCAAATATTGATAACGATCCGATCGCTGAATCAAACGGTGATATGTAACTTGGATCTAAAGCGCGTTGCTGTCGCCTATCAGCAGCAAGTTCAATCATGAAAATCTATGAAGATATGACGATGCTATGGGGGTTTGACCAGCAAGAGGTATAGAAGCCACTAGAGTCTTAGAAGTACAAACTTAGCAAGAAGAATCGAGATTGAGGCGGTTCTCAGCCTCTACAAGCCCCAAGAGCCAAGGTCCAGGTTGGTGGTACACCACCACAGAGTCCCCAACCACGAAGGGACTCGAAATAAACTCAACAAGGGGCTGGACCAAGTGAAATGTTAGGGGCTGAAGTAGCATTACTATTGTCACTATTTTAATATTTATCCACTTCCCTTGGGCTTGAAATCTTGAGCTCTTGGTCTTGATTCTGCAAGATAAATTCTTCTTCAATTGATGAGGGCTTGCTGCACACACGTGCCACAAAATGGACACTTCACACTCGACAAAAATAGAAACACACATGCGACACGCAAACGACGACTTGGCATGCGAGTTGTGAAAACTCGCTAATGTCTTGACCGACATAAACCACATTGTGATACACCATTCAAACACACACACAAGCACTAGATAGCAATGACATAGACTCACAAATCATTCCATGCCATGCATGCACACACACAAACAAGGACGACAAGCCGAGTGCAAGCCATAGGGTTGCACCAACAAACTCCCCCTCGGACTGTTGGCCTTAGAATTTGCTCCCCTTAGTTCAGAGCCATCCCAGCACGCTTGCAACACTTCCAATGCTGTTGCTCAACTAGCCTCTTGGTCATCATATTAGCAGGATGCGCCGTCGTCTTCACGTAGTGCAACTCCACTTCACCCGAGGTCACCATGCTCCTCACCCAATGCCATTTCACCTTCATGTGCTTGGTAAGGCCATGAAGTACAGGGTTCTTAGCCAATGCAATAGAACACTGGCTATCACAATAGAGTGGGGTAGGTCCTTGCTGCTCCTCCCCCAATTCAGCTAACAAACATCGCTGCCACACAACCTCTCTTATGTCACGGAAGAGTGCCATGTATTCGGACTCCACCGAGCTTAATGCTTGGTCCACTTGTTTCTTGCTCTGCCAAGCGGTTGGGCCTCCACCAACACAGCAGATGAAGCCTCCCACACTTGTCATATCCTCAGATTCTGATGCCCAAGATGCATCAGAGAAGGCGGTGAGAAAGAGCCTCCCGGGTTCAACTCCATCCGCACCCTTTTGACGCCTTTGTGCCGCCGCGGAGTATTGCAGTCCAGCAGTTGCTGTTTGGCCAAGATACTTGGCCACTCCAGCTGCTACCTGCTCTTCATTAGGGCATTGGACAACCCTAGCCAGCTGCCCGGTAGCAAAGGCTGCATCCGGCCTTGTGTGAACGGCCGCATATATGAGGTTGCCCACCAAGGAGTGAAAACGGCGCCTCTCCTCTTCACCAACACTTTCCTCCGCTGGTCCTTTCACACACTTGAACCCTGAGGGTAGAGGAGTTGCTACATGACCTTCATTCTTCACAAATTTTGCAGCCAAGGCCTCCAATTACTTCTTTTGATGCACTCGCATCCACCGCTTCTCCACATCTCGCTCAATGTGAAGCCCAAGGTAGTAGTTGACATCACCAAGGGTCTTGCACTTGAACTTGTCTTGAAGCTTCAGCATCACCTCCTTCACAAGGTCAGAGGAGGGTGAGAATATGAGGATGTCATCCACATAAGCCACCATGAAGCTCCTCTGCTCCCCCTCGCCAAGCATGAACAAGGATTGATCCGCCGTTGAGGGAGTGAAGCCGACCGCCTCCAAGATTTCCCGCAGCTTGATGTACCATTGCCAAGGGGCTTGCTTTAGGCCATAGAGTGATTTCTTCAGCTTCCTCACTCTGCCACTCCCATCATTATACCCTTCTGGCTGCTCCATGTAGGTCTCTTCCTCCAAAACTCCGTTGAGGAAGGTCGTTACTATATCCATTTGCTTCACCACCCATCCTTTGATGGCCTCCGCGGCAAAGAGAGTTCTAAGGGTTGTACCCTTCACCACTGGAGCATACACTTCATTGTAGTCCTTCTCATGCTGCTGATACCCCTTAGCTACAAGTCTGCTCTTGTAGCGCTCAATGTTGCCGTCGGTGTTGGTCTTGCGCTTGAAGAGCCACCTGGAAGAGATTGCCTTCCGCCTCGGAGGTAGATTCACCAAGTCCAAGGTGTCGTTCTCTATGATGCTCCCCATTTCTTTATTAGGATTAAGGACGGAGTCTAGGTGAACTTAGGAGCTAAAGATACTCAAAATATAAATCCGAAATTCTGGACAGAAAAGTCGTCTTCACAAGAAACGACGTCGACAAAACACTAGCCATTGGAATGTCGCCAAACTCAGAAATGTTGTAGCTTCTAATCTTAGCTACCGTTCTCAATTTGAATCACGTCGATTGATGGAGTATTCGCGACTCTATGTCTTTCGACGCACTAGGGGTAAGCTGTAGGAGGAGAACTCAACTCAATCTCAAAAGATCAATGAAAGTTCACGAATCCCACAAGGAATTATAGGAGCAAGAGAAAGGTTGGGATAGAAAGAGAGGGATGAGAGGGAAGGTCCCAAGAGAGTGCCCAACCAAGGAAACCCCATAAGCACAAAGATTCCCTCCCTATAGGAACCCCAACTTTGACATTTGTCCCTTCCCAACCAATCCATCCAAGTTGGCCACCCTTGCCAACCTAGCTTGGTTGTTCCCAACCAATTTGCAGCTGTTACAGTAGAGTGACGAATTTCCCCAACCCCAAAGGTCCCAACTCCACAACACACACCACACACAAATTCTTTCACACACAGTTAAATCATACATGCGAATTGAAACAAGGCATGGGAGGCAGACAGAATGTGATCGCATATGATGACATCACACAACATTCTTCATCTGAAGAGAGAGGAAGAGCGAGAGAGAGATAGAGCGAGAGAGAGAGAGAGAGAGAGAGAGAGAGAGAGAGAGAGAGAGAGAGAGAGAGAGAGAGAGAGAGAGAGAGAGAGAGAGAGAGAGAGAGAGAGAGAGAGCGAGAGAGAGAGAGAGAGAGAGAGAGAGAGAGAGAGAGAGAGAGAGAGAGAGAGAGAGAGAGAGAGAGAGGGAGAGAGAGACACAGACAAAGCGAGACAGAGAGACACAGGGAAAGGCAGAGAGAGATAGAGAGAGGGGCAGAGTGAGATAGAGATACAGAGGGAGAGAGAGAGAGAGATAAAGAGAGAGAGAGAGAGAGGGAGAGAGAGATCAAGAGAGAGAGAGAGAGAGAGAGAGAGAGAGAGAGAGAGAGAGAGAAAGAGAGAGAGAGAGAGAGAGAGAGAGAGAGAGGGAGAGAGAGAGAGAGAGAGAGAGAGAGAGAGAGAGAGAGAGAGAGAGAGAGAAATAGAGACAAAGAGTGAGAGAGAGAGGGCCAGAGAGAGAGAGAGAGACAGAGTGGGAGATGGGTAGAGAGGGTGGCAGCGAGAGGAGCAGAGAGAGAGAGAGAGAGAGTGAGAGTGAGAGATAGTGAGACAGAGTGAGAGAGAGTGAGAGAGTGAGAGAGAGAAGAGAGAGAGAGAAAAGAGAGAGAGAGAGAGAGAGAGAGAGAGTGAGAGGGAGAGAGAGAGAGAGAGAGAGAGAGAGAGAGAGAGAGAGAGAGAGAGAAAGAGAGAGAGAAAGAGAGAGAGAGAGAGAGAGA